TATATTCAATGTTTCATAGAGAAGAGTTCATTTGAGAAAAAAAATCACACTTTTCATGACCACAATATGCTTAATGAAAGAACTCAGTTTTGGTACCTTTAAAGAAAAAGGCAAATCATAGCTGAAAAAAGGAATAATCAAATATCACCTTAGCTTTAGTTTCCCTTTCTGCATCACTTACCTGGTTGAACATTCTATCAACTCATGTTCTGTCCAACCACTGGCTTTCCTTACTGCCCCACAGACATTAATAAAAGGTAGAATGGGGAGGCAAGATATCATAATGATGATCATTATTTGGATTTATGTGGCTAGAAGAAATAGAAAATTCAAAAGAGCAGATGCTCAATTTCATGAAACAGAAGTTTGGAAAGAGGCAGGGTGACATGGGGAAGAAAACCAACCTTGCACACAGTCCTTATCTCCTTCTTTACACTGAATATTTAGCTAATGAGTCAACATTTTAAATGATTATGCATCCACTCAGATTTTCTATTTCATTTTGAATGAGATTTCATAAGTTATGTTTTTCTGAGAAATTACCCATTTTGTCCAAGTTTTCAAGTGTATTGCCATAATAAGTACTCAAAGCATGTCTTCTTTTTGCTGTGTCTATAGTTACTTTTATTCTAAAATTTATTTGTGCTTTTTATTTAAAAATATCAACCTAACAATAGTTTATCCATTTTATTATTTCAAAGTAACTATTAGTTTATCTCATTATGTATTTGCTTTCAATTCCACAACTTCTACTTATTGTTTCCTCTTCTGCTTACTGTTCCTTTCCAGTACAACTCCTAGATCGAACTGAGAGGAACCCTGGCTGGGGCTGCAAGCTTTTGGAGGACCTTGCATATAATAAACAAACAAAAAAAAAACTAAAAATAAATTTATTAAAGAAGATACAGATGTAGCTATCAATCTGGATGCAGTGCACTTTGTAATATGCCTATTGTGTAATATGCAATATGAGTTCTTTGTGATCAAGATTTTTTGTTTCCTGACATTCTGCACATACTTCAGAAGGATTTCACCGAGCTGTGAAAATCACTTGTGAAGAACTGCTCCAGGCCTGCTGTGTGCATGGCAGAGTGGCTGCTCCCTCAACAAGCGGCTACAGACACCAACAGAAGGAAGTTGGCCAGGGATGTGGGCAGAGCCCTGACAACCTCTGCCACAATCTTCCCTGGGCAACTATTTTTATTCATTTCTACAACACTCTTCCACCAGTTCATTCTACGCCTCCCTTTCTTTATATCAAAGACCGCGTGTAGTAAGACTACTGAGCACCTTACTTTTTTATTACTTAACTTTTCTGGAGAGCCTTCTCTAAGACTACACAAAAAGCTTGCTCCTTCATGTTAGAGCTGCACAATATTCCACTTCAAGAATGTAAAAACTTATAGAACAAGTCACCTTTATGAAAACTAGACAACCAGGGCTCTGAAGCTACCTCACCACTCCAATTTCTAGATCCTCCTTCATGTAGGGCCCCTACAGATTTCTCTTATTTTGCTCAGCTGCAGACTTAAAAAGAAATTAGTTATTAGTTCATGAAGCATTTCCAGATTTTTAAAGACACAGCATTTCTTTCGGGTAACTTGGTAGTTATATTGTCCAAAATAGTCTCTCTAACCTTCCACAGCCCATCTGTGGCAATCCAGGTGTTCCTTGTCTTTGTACTTCATCATTGCAGACTTCATAACTTCAGTCAAATGCAGGAAAGGGTTTTCTCTTTTTATAGATAAAATAACAAAAAAAAACAAGTGATGCGGTCATCTACTTAACTCTAATTTGCCACAACTGGAGGACTTACCAATCCTAACTGCAAGAAAGGCCTGCAAAAGAAGGAGACCTTCACTATGGAACAAGATGGACCATGCTTCCTTTCCAGGGCTGGGAACTGAGCCACCCCGAAGAAAATTTTGACTCAGTTAACAAGAACAGTGGCCCTTAAATGGGCAGCCCAGCCATGAGTATCTGCCACACTTCTTCAGACAGAAGAAAAATCTAACTGTAAGCATGTTGGTGCAAAAAAAAAAAAAAAAAATTTAAGTAACAGCGAAATTTTAGTTCAATAAAGACACTGTAGGAAGAAATTTTAATGAAATACCCATTGATGGCTACTGTAAGATACATTCTAAAAATAAAAATAAAAATGATTGATTCTGAGATAAATGACACATTTTAGAATACAAACTTTAAGGCCTACATTCAAGTCTTATCCCCAGAAACTTTTTCCACATTTTGCAGAGTTTTCAATAAGTACTAATTACTACTGGAAAAATAATTTGTTGAGCTTTTGTAATCTATTATAAAATGGAATAGCTCCAATGTGAATCATTATGTATTCTTTTAGCTGTTTTGGATAAAACAGAATCCAACTGGTTAATTACACTGTTAACATCTATTCTTTTAATAGTAGAATGTTTTCTGGACAATAAGCTCATAACAGTGACAGCTACATATGCAGCAGCCAAAAAAATAACATCTGTACCTACAATGAAGGTCTTCTTATCAGACATGTTCCTATTTGTTCAGAGTAATCTGCATAATAGGCATTATTTTTTTTCTTTATTTGACAGATAGAGTTAGTGAGAGAGAGAGAGAGAGAGAGAAAGGTCTTCCCTCCGTTGGTTCACTCCAAAAATGGCCGCTATGGCCGGAGCTACGCCAATCCAAAGCCAGGAGCCAGGTGCTTCTTCCTGGTCTCACATGCGGGTGCAGGGGCCCAAGCACCTGAGCCATCCTCCACTGCTTTCCCGGGCCATAGCAGAGAGCTGGACTGGAAGAGGAGCAACCGGGACTAGAACCGGTGCCCATATGGAAGCCAGTGCCACAGGCGGAGGATTAACCAAGTGAGCCACGGCACCACCCCAGTAGGCATTATTAGTACTGAATAATTTTACCTGTGTGAATTCTGATGATTTACTGGACAAATGTACAAAGAGAATAAGCAATTGGGAAGCAAAGTCTTTTCAATCTTTATAAATCTCCACAGTGATCAGATCTATGCTGTTTAACAAAAGGCTATTCTTGTACTTTGATCTAAGATTGAGTAATCATATTTTCTAATTTAGTTTAGGTTTTCAAGCTGCAGCTAACTTTCCAAAATATTCAGAAAAATTTTTGGTATAGAGCAGATGAAATATCTTTGGTCAAATACAACTGTAAGTTAAACTGGCAAGATGTGCCTTTGGATGGTATCTGATTAGATTAATAAAGTTCACTGCCCAGATTAAATGGCTGATCTTGGAAGATATCAGTGTTTGGAATTGAAAGTCATGGCTATTGTTGAACAATATTTTATATAATGATCTTTCAGAAATCCACCTCTCATATAAGACTGCTTCCAGGAGCATTATGACGTTTATTCTCAATCGCTATGGGCTCTAATAGGAGTGAGGAAGCGATGTGCTATAAAGTGTTTGTTTGCATGCTATCCACAGACACATATGTGTGACACAATAATTTAATTCTGAAAAGCTGCATAATCAAAATAATCAAGGAGTAGATATGGTTCATTTCAATGTTCAAATCACTGTAGAAATGTATTATATTCAATGGTAATGTTAAATGAAAATGTGCCATACACTAAACCAGATTACTTGACCTTAAGTAATATAATACAACTGGTGCTGTGAAAACACTATTAAATGAGATGTGAAAGCAACTATAAGCAGTCACATTTTAACACAGCAATAGTCTTGTCATTGCCTTTATAACTTTTACATAAATACATTCACTGACATTTCTCATTCTATTAGTGAATCAACAATACTCATTTTGTTATAGCAGAATATGAAACATTAAATTATGTAAGGAAGTATACACATTAGATTTTTAAAATTCCAAATTCTCAATATTCACTAAAATATATTTTGCACTTAAAATCCTAAGCAATGTCACTTCATTGTTCACTGCTATCACAGATGACAGAGTTCTAGGAGATGATCCATGGTCTTCACACACAAAATTGGTTATTTCCTGAGTCCCCCGATTACTACTGAGAAGAGCAACCTGCTTTTAAATCACCAGCTGCTATATCTTCTGTGGCCAGTCCACTTTAGAAGCAGTAGATGAGTATGGCTACTGGGGGCCAAGGTGGGCACTGCAGCTTTGCAAGGCAACCTTGCTCAAACAATCCGTCTGCCCTAACTCCTTTAATGTAAGCATGGCACTCCTCACTCCTGCCTAACCTAGTGCAGTTACACAGAGAGGGTTCCAGAACCAAAATAAAATGAAGTATGTGAATCTCAATAGGACAGACTTCTACTATTTAACAATCAAGAGACACCCAGCAGTAGATGTGAATAGAGAACAAGGAGGGAATAAATGGTCAAGAGGATTCCATCCTAACCTGCAACTGTAACTAGTCCATCTTCTTCACCTTTCAAGTGTGTCCCGTAAAGCTCCTTCAAACAGGTGCCCTTTTTTCCTACTTCCTAACAAATCAGAATTCAAATTAGAGGTCTATGTCCCAACAATCATCCTACAAGAATAAGTCAAAGGTTACCAACTCTGCAAACTCTCCTTTAGTTTGCCAGTCAAAATCAACTTCTCCACCTTTCCTTCTGTCATTGCGTTTATACATCTATCTCTACCTCAACATACTTAAAGCCTTGGTCACATCCATCTTCAATCCTGGCTACTATTACACAACAGACACAATAAACAACACTAGTACAGTATGCTCACTACAAAAGGCTTTGGAGGTTTTGAGGGGGAAAAAATGTGCTCAAGACCAGGTAATTCTCAGGTGAAAAAAAAATGTCACTCATTGACACAAGAATATAAGACAAAATCACAAGACACATGGACTCTTATTTTAAATAAGACTACTTTCCTATGGATCAGGTTGTCTGTACATCAGTACCTTCTGCAATCATAACAGCCAGTTCCACTGCTGGAGAAATTGTCAGTGATGCCAAAAGAGAGACAACAATGTGATAACAGGAGCACTGAAAATAAGCTGCATCTGCATGCTGAGTTCTAATCACCTGTAACGCTCACTGACGGGAACATTCTGAGAGAAGTACAGAGCCGAAGTCCGTGCTCTCCAGTGCCATTTCTTTGCAGGAAGGGTGTAAAGAACACAGTCTTCTAACTCTTCTTGGAGCAGGTCCACCAGCTGTTTATGGGAGCCTCCATAGAATGCCTCAATGATAAGAATACTCATTGGCCCCTTCAAATCTTCAGTCTAGACAACAAGCAAAAACAAAATAAAAACAAACATATTTTCAAATATGTAATACATAAAATTTAACAAATGAAAACACAAATAATTTACTCACATATTTTTAAAAATAGGCTTATTCCCTTTTTAAAAAAGTACACAATACCAATCAAAATACCAAAGATATTCTTCTCAGATCTGGAAAAAATGATGCTGAAATTCATATGGAAGCACAAGAGACCTCGAATAGCTAAAGCAATATTGTAAAATAAAAACAAAGCCGGAGTCATCACAATAACAGCATTCAGGACATACCTGTTGAAGTGAAATGGTCACTATGAGAAACAATGATTTGATCAGCCCTTGTCATGACTGTTGAGGAACAACTTAATACTTTATTCCTTTTAGTATTTTTTTGTTCTACTTAATACCATAGGTAGAACTCTTTAATTAACACACAATTATTCTTAGGTGTTTAAATTTAACTGAAAAGTGATCTCTGTTAAATGTAAGAGTGGGAATAAGAAAGGGAGGAGATGTACAGTTCAGCACATGCTCAATTGGAATTACCCCTAATGGTAGAGCTAGAAACGTGCCAGGGGATTCCAATTCAATCTCATCAAGGTGGCATATACCCATGCCATCTCACTAGTCAAAGTGATCAGTTTCAGTTCATAACTTATCATAATGATAGGATTAAGTGTCAAAGGGATCACATAAACAAGACTAGTGTCTGCTAATACTGACTGATAGAATTAAAAAGGAGAGAACAATCCTACATGGGAAGCGAGATACACAGCAGACTCATAGAATGGCAGATGACCTAAACAGCACTCTGGCCTCAGAATCAGCCCTTAAGGCATTCAGATCTGGCTAAAAAGCCCATGAGAGTATTTCAGGCATAGAAAGCCAAGACACTGTGGCAAAAAAAAAAAAAAAGAGAAAATGAACGGGAAAGCAGTAAAGATGGCCCAAACCTAAATAAAAGATCTCTGCGAGTGAGATCCCAGTGGAAAGAACGGGGCCATCAAAGAAGGAGGTACCTTTCTCTGAAGGGAGGAGAGAACTTCCATTTTGACTATGGCCTTGTCTAAATAAGATCAGAGTTGGCAAACTCAAGAGACGTCCATAGCCTTGGCAGCTCATGACAAGACTCTCAGATGATTACTGACGCCATAAACAAGAGTGTCAATTGTTAAATCAACAACAGGAGTCACTGTGCCCTTACTCCCCGTGTAGGATCTCTGTCCTTAACGTGTTGTACTATGTGAATTAACGGTATAACTAGTACTCAAACAGTACTTTACACTTTGTGTTTCAGTGTGGATGCAAACTGTTGAAATCTTTACTTAGTACATATTAAATTGATCTTGTGTACATAAAGATAATTGAAAATGAATCTTGATGTGAATGGGATGGGAGAGGGAGTGGGAGATGGGACTGTTTAGGTGGAAGGGAGGTTATGGGGGGAAAAAGCTGCTATAATCCAAAAGCTGTACTTTGGAAATTTATATTTATTAAATAAAACTTTAAAAAAAAATGAGAAGAAATAAATGTGTATATTTTTCTGACTTCTGTTTTCCTAAGGACCTAAGACCAATTCCACCATGACTAGTTTTTTCTCCTACCTTAGAAAGCTTAAAGCACTCTCCTGCTATGATTAGTCACTTCCTGGTTGGTTCACCAAATGACCTGACTCAGAAATCTAAGAACTAGCTAGACTTAGGGCTGTACTCCTACAGGGACACTGATCTCATCTCCTCATAAAGACTTCCACATAAACCCCTCATTTTTAAGGTCCTTTCCAGCTTACAAATTCTCTGATTTGGTAACACTCATATTAATTCATCTTTTAAAAAAAAAAAAAGTCCAACTTATTTATTTATTTCTAAGGCGAAGAACAAAGAGAGGGAAACACAGAGACAAATAGAGATCTTCTATCTACTGGTTCACTCTTCAAATGCCTACATTAGCTGGGACTGGGCCAGGCTGAAGCCAGGAACTCCATCTGGGTTTCCCAGATGAATTGAAACCAAGTAATTGGGTCATCATCTGCTGCTTCTTATGCACATTAGCAGACAGTTGGATCAGAAGCAGAGATGAGACTCTGTCCCAGGCACTCCAATATGGCATGAAGGCATGTTAAGCAGCAGTTTAATCCATGGCACCACAATTGCCTGCCCTTAATTCATTTTTAACTCACCAGCTATCACTGTACCTAATGGAATCATTTTTAAAAGAAAGCACATTCACATTCAAATCTCAAATCTCTGGTGTTAAAAGCTTCAAGACGGGGCCGGCACTGTGCCGTAGTGGATTAATGCCCTGGCCTGAAGCACCTGCATCCCTTATGGTCGCCGGTTCTAGTTCCGGCTGCTCCTCTTCCAATCCAGCTCTCTGCTATGGCCTGGGAAAGCAGTAGAAGATGGTCCAAATGCTTGGGCCCCTGCACCCGTGTGGGAGACCCGGAAGAAGCTCCTGGCTCCTGGCTTTGGATCTGCACAGCTCCGGCCATTGCGGCCATCTGGGGGAGTGAACCAGCGGACGGAAGACCTCTCTCTCTCTCTCTCTCTCTCTCTCTCTTTGCCTCTCCTCTTTCTGTGTAACTCTTTCAAATAAATAAATAAATATTTTCTTAAAAAAAGCTTCAAGACACAATTTCTCAACACACTGCACATTCTTTTAGCACTTCCTCTCCATTATCAATATCACACCCCCAAAGAAACTTCAAAAGTTGGGTAAACCTGTAAGTCTGTGAACCAACAAGGCTTCTACAACCTTTCTTTAAACTAGACACCCATTAAGAAGGATAAAGTAGCAATACTGGGATTATTAAAGACATGGTAAAATTTCATCGCAGAGAATTGGCTATCAAGCAATTTTTCATTTTAATAATAATTTTTGTTAATGTACTTAGTGAAATAAAAATATATGTATGACTGTAAAAACTTTCATATACATTTCAAATTATATGCCATTTCCTGTAAGACATAACAGAGAAACATCATCCTATACATAAATGCTATACTGCTTTAAAAATATTCCAGATGTTTGAATTTCCCTTTATGACTTAAATAAATACACTCATTAAACAGCATATTGCTTTTCTTAATAATGGTGTTCCATAAAATTAGTAATCCCAATGACTCAATGATGCTTTTCACAAATAAAACTGTATTTCACCTTACTGGGTCAAAGTAATTCCCATTTAAATTGTATTTCAAAGCAAAATGTTTCAAAGGGTTCACAAAGAAATGGCTGAACTGAAAAAATAATTCTTTCTTGACATATGAATGTTACAATGAGCATCTGGAAAGAAAAAATATATATGAATATACATATTTCACTTACATGCAAAATAAGGAGCAGTGTATGCCAGGGAAATATGAGTTTGAACCTCAGCTTTGTCTCTTTCTAGCTTTTAGACCTTGGACAAGTTATCTAACTTTGTAGTACTCAAGATCATCTCTAAATTAAGACAACAAACCAACCTCAGAGGTATATTGTAAAGATCAAATTAGATAAGGTATGCAAAGCATAGTAGCTTGCAAACAGAAATAAGCTATTTAGTCCCTTCTATTATTATTATAAATCACTCTACTTAAGGAGAATCTATGAATCTTTCAGTAATGTTCAATCACGGTCCCTTTCCACAAGAGACTGGGAATGGTAGATGTACATATGAACTCAAGACACCAAGAGTATGATCCATGCCTTAGCAGCAGCTTGCATTGTTCAAATAGGAACTGGGGAACCCTGCTAACTTTGTGGGTAAGAGGTAAGCTCCGAGGCCAAGCCATGCAGAGCTTGTTTTATGCCAGGCCTGCTGAAGACTTCTGCCCTAATAATGCAGTGTTCAATGAATTAATAAGCACCCTCCAAACTCAACAAAGTGGTAGCCACTAATCCCTCAAATGATGGAAACTTTTAAGAAGTACTTGAAAGAACAAGAAAAGGAAATTTTGAAAATTGGATCAAAAGTTTCAAGAAAGAATAAAAAGTTTAACATTAACTTGCTTGCTAGATCACATCACAGACTCCGGTCTTGAGCTATTTCCTTGACCTAATCATACTTAGGTGTGTATGTCCTGTATATCCTTAAAGGTCTCTAAAATATTCTCATAAAAATGATCTAAGATATTCCCCCCAAGTGAAGAAATGTGATATAAATTACTCTAACTAATATTTTACTCATATAACCTCACAGAAAGTAACATCAATATTAGGGAAAAAATTGCTTTCTGATACTTCATTATTCTGCCCTGTTCCATGAATGACTTACAGTACATATATCCTACAGATGTTTTTTATGGGTCTGAGTCATGAATTATGTGTAAACCTTCAGTCACTGTGAGGGCAGTACTTGTAGGTGCTGCTACAGGTTCAAGACACTCACTATGCAGAACTGAAGATCAAGCATGTGGGAGGTCAAAAAATAGAAAAGGGGGAAAAAGATTATAGCCATAGTAGATTTCCACCCCTTTAATAGCTTAGTAAGAAGAATGAAATGTACAGGTTTGAACTAGCGTTTACTTGAGCATTTTTCTAGTGGCCAATGGGTGTGCCTACATTTTGGGTATTTTTCTAAGGAGAGTAACTATGTCCTACCATCTCTGAAAACTATACTTAGTGGCTTTGATTCATGGAAATTTGTTCTGACTGTTTTGTGGAGACAGACACATCCTGGCCGTTCCCCCTCTTTCTGCTATTGCAGCTCTTGCCACAAGAAGAAAATATGTTCTTCCCTATAGTCTTCCTGAAGCACAACCTGGAAGAAAGATGATTCCCATTAGACGCAAAGAAAAGCTGATTTCTAAATATAAGATTCAAACCAAATGTCATCACAGCACATTAAAGAACAGCTCAAATACTTTCGATGTGCTTGGATTTTGTTTTGGGAAACACTGCTTGAAACAAATAAGCATGAGGTTGAAAAACAAACCACTTTGCTGTTCAAGTGGAATTTGCTAAGATGTAAAGGAGTGCACTATTTATCCATGTTAGCAATACTCAGAGGAAACTGC